TATTTCAGGATTCCCATTCAGCATCAGATGGCACGCCACAGACAAGTCAGGAACACGGAATAAAAGGGGACTTGGCTGCCGACACCAAGTCAGTCGTCGTTCGTTTCGGCCGACTTCGGGCAACCTAAGCTGGAAAGCAACCATGAGTTTTACGTCCACCAACATATCCTCGACCATGTCCAACATGTCCAATAACAAACCTAAACCCCCCAGTGGTTTCTTCTGCCTTCCCGGCGAGATACGCAACCAGATCTACGAGTCCCTCCTCGTCTTCCAGGAGCCCCTCACCATCCACACCCAAGACTGGAACGATCATGGGCGAGACAGCAGCGACAAATCGAAGAAGGATGATTTGGAGAGGGTGAAGCACATCGACAACGTTTCCGAGCGAAAGCGCTGGCCGCTCTCCTCCCGCCTGCTCACCGTCTTCCTGATCAGCAAACAAATCCAACACGAAGCCTCCGCCGTCTTTTACTCTTCCAACCAGTTTCGGGCACCGCCCTCGCTGTGCCGGTTCCCGCACCCCCAGCTGCAGTCCAACTATGTCATGCGCGGCTTCATTGACCGCATCGGTCCTCGCAACCTAACCTGTCTCCGGCACCTGTGCATCCCGTTCCCGCTTGACTCCACGGATTCGGGGGGCGTGGGCGTGGGTGGCGTGGGTGGCGTCGTTATGATGGGGCGACAGCGATATAGAAGTATGGATTTAAATCTGGATCTGGATCTGGATCTAGACGACGGGTCCCTGTGGGCCAACATGAGCGTGGTGCCGGGCGGTGCATGTGCAGGTGCACTACCGAGTCTATGGCGACGGTGTCCGAACATTGAAATCATCGAGTTTGATCTCAGCTGGTCTGGGCCCGGGCACTCGCTCTGGAAGGGAAATGTCCGACCATCCGACCGGGAGGTTTTGTTGAGAAGCATGGACGCGGCGTTGAGGAGGGAGTTCAAGCGGTTGCGGGAGATCGTCGTCAATATCCACTACGACGACGGGCCGACGTCGACGACAAGCCCCCTCCGGGAGATCGACAGCAAGTCGTCGTGCGAGGCGCTGATGGAGACGATGCGCGGGAGGTACGGATGGAAGGTTGAGGTGCGCGATTGTAGCGGCGAGAAGGCAGATGATCAGCAGCAGCTGAGGATCCCGTATTGGCATCGGCCGTCGCCGTCGCAGGGATTTCGATGGAACGCCGGTCGCTATAGCACTGCGTTTGTCAGCGGCACTCGCACTGAAAGCGACAATGACGACGACGGCCACGATGCTGAGCATATGAAGACTACAGCCGAGCGGAAACGGCAGTCTGCCAAGGACATGGGACGGAGGATTGTGCGGTCTCGGGCGTTCGGGTGGGGCGTGGTCGTGATCTTTTCGCCGGCGATTCCTGTGCTTATGGCTATCGATGGTATCAATAAGAAGAGGAGGAAGCGGAAGAACGAGAAGCTGAGTCCGGGATCACCGATGGCTAGCCTCGACCACCATGGTTCGGTTCGGGAATTCGGGCAGGCTGGGAGGTTAGACTGACGGGACGAACAACTTCTGGACAGGGTGCCACGAGGCGTGCTGACTTCGACATCGGACCGGACATGATGCTGGCTGGGTGGGATGGAAGACTGATGGGATGTCTGGCGCAGGTATTAGCCTGTGACCTGACACTTGCAGGACACGAGGAGAAGCAAGCATTAGGTTGTACATGGGCGCGTCCTTGTGCCCTGTGCGGCTGGAGGTGTTAACACATGGACGTCAGGAATTCGAATAATTCCTTTAGACCTCTCTTTGTTTCCTTTCGTTTCCTTCTTATACAATGTTCTTCCCTTGTCATGAGTTTATTTCTGGCGTTCTGTTGTTTATTTTCTGGGCACGGGTTTTTATGACATGGTTTCGTTTCTTGTTCTCGGTTTCTTACCCACAAGGTCACGTTTATATGTACGAGGACCATAGATGCTGTCAAGATAGGCGTATGCATCCGTACAAGAGAGCATAGGAGGAGGCGCTCCTGATCGCCGAACAAATCGGCCATAGATTAGCATTAGCATGGTCACTTGGGTGGCCAAAGAGGAATCTTGAATCCCTTCCCAAGCACAAGGCTTGTAGCAAGTCAAATAACTCCCTACCGTATGCTGCAGGAAAAGATGCAATGACCGTCTTCAACTCTTTTGCTGACAATCAGGTCTTGTCTGTCAACACGCACAAGGAAGGAGAAACAGCCAACCATATACGTGCGCCGATTGGTATATATAGGTACCTTATATAAGAGAAAAAAATGCAATAATCATCCTGTTTAATATCCCAATGCCTCCTTTCTTCCCGGAACCGCACTCATTTGTTATGCCACAAGAAATTGCGCAACCCATCCCACGTATCCGCGTCTCTGTAAATGTACACCATACTGCCGCGCAAACTAGGCTGCAGCTCAGCATCGTGCCACCTGAACAGATGCATGACGCTCGCCCACGACACCGCGGCAAAGACGGGCCAAGCGTAATGACTAATGGCGGTGCTGTTGTTGGGCTCGGACACGCCCGGCAATCCATAACCGGGCTTGACGGCCAGGCGCGCTAGTGCCAGCACCACGCGCGCAAAGACGTAGATGACGATTTGCTGGTTGACGCTCGAGATCTTGCCCTTTCGCGATCGTTGACCGAAGACGACGTAGCCGCCGAGGAGACCGGCAAAGAAACTGTCGTATGGACCTATAGTTATTTCAAAAAGGGGTTGGTAAGCTGATGTTTTCCGGTAGGCTCAGGTTTGCGCTTCAATTTTTGCGCCGTCGTCGCAAAGGGGCTATGGGTATGGGTATGGGTGTGGGTATAGATATGGGTATCCGCTTGCCTTCCTTGCCGGGTGATGTCCCGTAGTGTTTTAAAAGATAGCAGACGGTCTTGTATATCGTCGCGAACTTTGCCAGATTCGTAGCGTGGGTTTTCGTCGCGCGGAAGATCAGTTTCGCTTTTTCCCGGAGACTGTTGCGCAATGGGAAATATCGGTTAGCTGGTGAATATGCGAAAGGGGGTAAATGCGGTTGTTACTCACGTCCCAGATCGAAATAGGAGCATCATGCTGTCGCATTATTATGTTAGTCTCGTTCAGCGTTGGATCGACGGGTTCGGACCGAAGACGTACACCAGCGCGTGCGGAAACCGCACTTTGGCTCCGTAGACGGCGCCATTGCGAGCGCCCTTGACAATGGCAAGCACGTCGCGATACTTGGGGGTCAAGGATTACTTGTTCAATCGAAGCCTGTCGCGCAAATGTGTTAATAACGGGCGCGCGTGCGGGTTTGGGGTGCTCTTTTCGCAAGGGCTTTGGTGGTGTTGTTATGTTCGCACCTTGAGGCTCTCGAGAGCGCTGCTGGACATTGTGCCTCGGCTCAAATGGGGTTCGCTGGGAAACTCGGGTGGATGACGGAATGGGGTTGCGCGCTGGACACACTCGAAGGAATCGCAAAGTTGTCGTTGTGTTCTAGCTCATTGGGCGACGCTGAGGGGTATACGGCGCGAGTCGATATTCGGAAAGGAAATAATACGGTAAGGAGTTCGTGAACAGGTGGGATGAAATGGGAAACGATTCGACGTCACGGTTTAAACAGGAAGGGTAGACTGGACTGGACTTCCATGGGGGTATTGACAGGCGAGACGGCGCCGCGGCTCACGGGGGCAGATCCACGGCACAGGTGGGAATGACGACGGCACATGTCGGTTTCGGTGGAACTTTACCGGCTTAGGGCCACCGCTTTGGGGGCCTTCCCCGCAGATTGTTCCGTGGGTCGCTGTGAGCATGACGCAGGGGCCCCCGTCGGGTTCGCTGAACGACCGCTGGAAGAACAATTGGAAATCCAGTAAAAACACGCGCCTGCAAAATGGCATGTGAAATTCCCATCCCTCCTCGTCCAGTTCCTCGTCCAGTTCCTCGTCCCGTGCCCATCACCCATGGCCAATCTCAATTCCTCGTACAATAAACTACCAACGACATCTCGATTGGTTCTTCCTGTCAATATCTCGATAAGCCTCGCGCTTCATACCTGCTCCAGCGATATTCTGCCGTCCATCCACGGATCATACCGAACAGGAGGGCATCGAGTTTATACGAGTCGGCATCAACGAAATCAGATATCGTCGGCTCGGCGTGCTTACACTCTTCGTTCCCTTCCAGTTTGTTAACAGTTGTGGGAGACGCTCAGCAGTATCTTCCTTATTCATGAACGACACACACAAAGACACAGCCTAAGCAATCCAGGAGTCCGACCTCTATCTTCTCCCACGTTTTAGAGATGATTGTGGCCATGCATTCCCCACGGCGAGCGGCAAAGATGCTTTGATATCTATTTTGGCAGCAGAAGTTTGCTCAAACCCCCCTTGTCCAGTAAGTGCGACGCCGAATACGTTGGGCACAAACACACCTGATTGCCTCATTGACGTACCAACTGCTTTTAACACGGTGACTTGTGTCGCTGAAGATATCAGATCAACTTGGAAACGCTCAGTCGAGCTTATCCTGTTAGTCTCAGCTACACTGGACAGAAGACAAGGTGCAGTTTTTTTTTATTTGCAATGGGAGTCACGCGCATCTGGTTATGTAGGCAGTTCGTCGTCTATTCATAATCTGACATGACAACTAAACATAAAAAGGGGTATCTCATCATTAACAGCAGGGAAAACTACCACTCCAACCGGTCATCGCATACAAGCCGAACATCGAAGCGGTCCTCGCCCCTCCAGACCTTCGAGCCAGAGTTGCACTCAGCGACAACACTCCTTAGCTCGCCGATCATGCCCGGTGGCCCGCTACCAAACACTCGTGTTGACCCTTGGGCAACACCTTCGACGAAATTCTTGACCACCGCCATCACATCCGGCCTTCCTCTCGCCGTGGAGCTGTCTCGCTGAGCAGACATCCTCGGCGCTCTCTTGATGTCGTCATCATCCTCCTGCGAAGACTCTCCACCGCAACATGAAGTGGTCTGAGGGACCGCCTTTGTGGTGTTATCATCCGTGACGAAAACGCGAATGGTCAAACCATGGGCGGCACCGAGCCTGCGCAGCTCCTCCATCTCAGGCTCAACCCACTCGACGTCTTCGCTCCTCTTGATGGCCCACACCAGCTCGACCTTCCTCCCGGGGTTCATGTTTCTGTCCCGGAGCAGATCGATCAGGAGGGGAAGGACATAGGTGATACCAGTTCCGCCGGCAATGCAGAGGACGTTGACGTCGGGCGTCACGCCCTCCGCGATGCTCTCGCCATAAGGACCTTGGAGGATGACAGGTGTTGTGGGAATAGCGGCCTTCTCCGACAGCGCAGCACCGGCAAGTTTATCCTGCACTATCTTGGCCAACTTCTTGGTCTCTCCGCCCTTGGCTCTTAAGATATACGAGTGCTTCACCGTACCCTTCCCGTCCTCCACCGGCCACGACAGGGGCGTAAACGGGTGACTCTGCCAGATGCTTCCCTCGGTGAAGCACAAGAAGAAGTGCTGGCCAACCTTCCACGCCCTTTGCGGGTGCTCAAAGTCCAACCTGATCACATCCCCATGCTTCTCGTCTTTCCACAGCTTCATCTCCGCCTGCGCCGCCGCGAACCCGACCCTTCCTTCGCTGGGGATATACCCATAATGCAGCAACGCGGTCCTGACCAGCCTGGCGCCGCGATCCACAAACCACAGCACCAACCCGGGCACCAAGAAACATTGCAACTGCTTCCAATGCCCGATCACGGCGCCAATGTACACCATGGCCAGGATGTAGTGCGCCTTGCGGAAGAACTCGTACCCGGTGCGCCGGATGGTCCACTGCAGCGTGCCGACCCACAGCAGCACGAGCAGCACCAGCGCCACCACGCCCCAGCGGGCGTAGCTCTGGACGATGAACGCGTTCCACACGCTCGGCTGTGGGCGGTACAGGCGCGCCTCGACGATGACCCAGCCGATGGTGTGCAGGATCGACTGCACGAGGATGATGTGACCCGTCCAGCGGTGGAGGAACATGAAGCTGGTGTAGGGGACGCCAGTGATCAAGGACAAGATTGACTCGCGGCTGGCGAGCAGGACCGAAAGAGGGGTGAGTGCGTAGGCTAGCACGCCGACGCGGTCGGCCCATGGACCGAGCGACGTGCGCGTGTTTTTGACGTGTTCCGGCTGGCCCTTAATGGGCGTGATCCACTTGGCGTAGACGATGCCGACGAAGGACCAGATGGTCAGGTATCCCACCAACACCACGAGGATAAGCACCTGCAACCGAGTAACCTGACCAAACACACCCTTCCACACTCCCTTACTCGACAAGAGATACCTCCGTCCCGTAGCGCCCACCGCCAGCCACATCCTCGTCAGTCTCCCTACTTTTCTCGGCCTGGTAGCCACCTCCCCCGTCAAAAGGTTTGCGTGCTCAGGTGCCTCATACTTGGCCGCATTCCCCCCGCTGGAAGAAGCACCAAAAAAGTCGCCTGGCAACTCCCCAGACGAGCAATATCCCGAGAATCGTCGCCCACAAGATGCCCGTGTAAAGCATCCCCCGGTCGTGAGCCCCGTACACGGCGTCCAGGTAGGCGCACGAGCCGGCGTCATTTTTGCACGGGACCACGCGGTAGGCGTAGCCCCAGTGCGGCTCCATGTTGGATTCGCTGGTGAAGTTTTGGATCATGCGGGCGGATAGTTGGGCTTCATGGCTTGGTGGTGTCATTAAGAAGATATGGGTGGCCGGTTGGCCGTTGGATCGGATGTCGGATGCCGGATGCGCCGGGGAATTTGATAAGAGTTGGGATTGTAAAGTGTTAGATGTGGTTGTGTTGCTAAGGTTCGTTATTGTTGTTGTTCCATTTCCCGGTGGTGTGTGTGTGATCGACAAGTCTTTTGCCGGGTGTTGGTTGAGTGAGTGTTGGTGATTATGTTTAGATGAACCGGTCCTCGGTGGTTGTTGTCAAGGTGGTCGGTCCAAAAGTCAATGAATGGTGTTTTGTCAAGGCGAAAGGGGGAATGGAAATGATAACAAGTTATTGTTTCAAGAAACAAAAGGTCACGGAGGACAACCGGCCGAGAAAATCAAAAAGGTCAAACCGCTGCTCGGATCTCGCTTCGCTTGTCCCGGAAGCTTGCCCTTGGCTCTTGTTGTTTTTATGGATGTAGGTATTCAATCTGAAGAAACTCGGGATCTGGAATCTTGAAAAGGAAACGAAACGGAGCTTGTTGCGTTGAGCTGATTTCATATCATCAGGGGTTCAGTGGGGTTGCGCTGGAACTTGGTGCTTGGTACAGCGGGTGTGGAGAGCGGAGTGCCGAGAAAGTTGAGCAAGTTTCCAATGCAACGGTGTTCAATTTCTGTGGTTCTGTCGCTGTCGCAATCGGATCCAGAACGTTGTTCAACAGTGGTTTCCATTTCCAGCGCTGAGCCGGAACCCGCCTCCCACTTGTTGTTGTGGTGTTGTTCGCCCCTTTTTGATGAGCATGTTTTTTCTTCCTATTCTCGCCCAGCTCTGCGGTGCTCTGTTATATATCATGCCACCGGTGCACTTGAAAGGATTTGAGTACATTATCCTGTCTCTGCAACTCGAATTCCCAAGGCAAAGAACACGAAAAAGAAGCCGAGACGGGACCGGTCAGAAGATAAGATGACGCCGATTGAATGGACTTCTGGACACAACACTGAAGTTGCGGAGAAGTTGAGCATCTTTGAGCACGTTTCTCTGCAACTAATAGTGGGGCGACGGAGCATCGTGGGGGCGTGCTGGCTCGCTCGGCGTGGAATCTCTCCCATCTGATTGGACATTCGCATAATTGACCCAGGTACCCGGAGCGTCAACCCCCCTGAACATGAGGGGATGGAGGCGAGACCCAAGCGAACTTCCGGAACGGCACGCGCTCAATTTCCAGGCGAGCGAACGACACACGCCGCCCTGCCGGGATATGGTGATGCTTCAGCCACCCGCCTCCGACTTGATGACATTGGTGATACTGGGAGCTACGTCCCGACCATGACCCTGATTATTTTGCTCCGCCAGATGGGCGGTTGAACAACGTGGAAACGTGGACAAGAAGGTTCTCTTCCGATATTCCACTCATACCTGCTCTCTTTTCATGCAACTTGACCCTTTTCGCTCTCTTTTCCACTCTTTCTCCCTCGTCTTCCCCTCTTCTAGTATACGCTACCTAGCCTTACGGATGGAACCGTTGTCGTTGTCTTCTTGAATCTCGACTCCAATCCGCTAGCTGCTGGGTAAGGGAATCTCCTGGGGGTTCCTTGTCCTTGTCATACGTATCTACCGTCGTCCAACGTCCGTGTCCGTTGCTCCAGTCGCCAGGCCGGGGTCAAGATACTTATTCAGGTCTCGAAAACCTTCTCAGTCACACCACTTCGTCCTACGGGGGTCACCAACTAGTACGGACATTGAGAGCATTATTTAAGAGAAAAAAACGAGCTCAACGGCCAAGCTAAAAAGAAAGAACCATCTGTATTATTCTCATCAACTACCTCCATCACCATCAACCGGCGCACGCATTCTTGACGCCTTCATCGACATACAACCACCTGCTACTCTTCGCCCCTTACTCATTCCATCTCATACACATATCGCCAACCATGGCACAACACACCTCAACCCTCCTGATGCCCCGAATGGACATGGGCCACGGGGACATGGATGGACCAGAGTGCAAGATTTCTGTACGTACTCCCCCCTTTACCTCCATCCGTTTCCTTTATCTTTTTTACCATGTTCTCCCACAGTTAGATACTAACATCACCCTTTACAGATGCTCTGGAACTGGTACACAATCGACGCCTGCTTCATTCACCCGTCCTGGCAAATCACCACCCAGGGCGCCTTCGCTGCCACCTGCATCGGCATCATGTTGATGGTCGTCCTGCTCGAGTTCCTTCGGCGTTTGGGCAAGGAATACGACGAGTGGATCGTGCGTGACTTTCGAAGACGGTCGGCCTTGATCAGGGAACAGCAGCGTCGTTTGCGTCAGCAACAACAGCGGCAGACTTCCTCAACTAGCTGTGACGGCAAAGGGGCTACGACATCTGTAACTGAGAGGCGAAGAGGAGGAGGATACATGAGCACGAAGGCGACGACCACCACCCTGAAATTCCGCGCTAGTCCTCTGCAGCAGTTGATCCGGGCCGTTATCCACGCTGTCATGTTCGGATTGGGCTATCTGGTCATGTTGTTGGCCATGTACTACAATGGCTACGTGATCATCAGCATCTTGATCGGGGCGCTGATTGGCAAGTTTCTGTGCGATTGGTTGACGGTCCAGTTCGAGATTCCTGGTGGTGATGAGGAGGAGGACATGGATATGGATGGTGGGTTTACCGATGAAGTGCCGAGGCAGCAGGGAGTGGAGGACGCTACTGTTTGCTGTGGTTGAAGCTCAGACGGACTGGGCGAGTTGGGCATGGACTGGAAGGGCCAGACGGAACATGATAACGACCGCGATGATACCTTTGTCTTTTCCAACAGTTAATATTTAATGGATTGGGATACAAGACTTGGAGTGTTTGCCACTAAGATTGCACGACTCGAGAGCCAGGGTACATGTAGTCCTGAGATGGAGGGCGTCCATCGCTGCCAGGCGAATACTTTCACGAAGGTACGGTAGGTACGGCAGGCGTCAGAATGGGTGATGCCTGAGCATCGCCTGGGTCGGAGTTGTCGATTTGGAAGGTGCATTTGGGGTGCGAGGTTTCTGATTTGGGGGAAACTGAAATCTTTGGATAGAACCTGCGGGGTTGTGTTGTCACCTTCCGATGTTCTCACTCCTCATCAACCTGCAACCCCAGATCAGGATAACAAGTCGAAGGACTGACCTTGGTGCTTCTTCCAGAGTCCGCGCCGGCGCCCGAGGTAACTCCTAAACTCCCGTCATGCACCCGTCTGCGAACATGCATCACACGAGTTCCTGTGTGCATGGCCCAGAACTGCGCTTTCCCTCTCATAACATCGGCAGTCGAGTAAGGTAGGCACCTACTTAAGAAGGAACCCTTCCCTCAACAAATAAACCACCGCACTTTCCTGTTCCGTCCTGCAACCACCGCTCATTCCTTCAGGTTTGGACCTGCCACCAAAAGCCCCTAAAAGTCGGGAGTGTCCAACCATCTTCCCTACCTCCAACCGCCGTCGGTTGTTGAGTGCCCCTCCTCGCTGACTCTCATCTTGTCCAGATGAAGCACTTTGCCGCCCTCAAGGCCCGCCTGTGCCGCAGTGGGCCCAAGACGAATACCAAAGCAAACATGCAAAGCACGCTCATTCCCAGTCGGTCCTCACAGGAGACTCTGCCACCACTCTACGAGGAATCCGCGCGTGAGGCTTCTCATTCTATGAACCAGTGGAAGGAGACCTAAAATACGCACCACAGGGCAGCTTCCACTTGTCCGGAAGTCGTCAAAAAGTTTAAGTCGTCCTCGGTTGACACAAAAACCGGTGGTCGCCTGCTCCCCATGCAGCTCATGTCGCTGCTGTGTATATACTACGACGTGATGGACAAGTTTCTGTATGAAATGGAATTCGTGCAGCCGAACGACTGGTACCGAAGAAGGCACGGGTTCCCTGAGCTCACGTACCCCAATGCCAGAGCTCTCATCGAAGCCACGGGCAACTACACTTTTATGTTGGCTTTGCCCCGGGTCAGTAGCCAATATACCCATACCTCCCGAGGGTTTCGTGCTGTTCTCAGCGATGCAGTACAAGACATCGACAAGCACGTTCGAGCCCACCTTGCAAGAATGCTAGTCGCTGCCATTGGAAAACGGGAAGGGGCTGCAGACGTGGATCGTCAACTTTGTTGAGGGCCAAATGGAGGGTCGGGACGATGGGCATGATCTCAACTTGGTTGACACTGGCGAATTTGACGGGCCGGCTGTACAGGAATGCTGACGTCTGTTCAAGGCCGTGTTGGTCGAAGCTGGCTGCCCAGACCTGCTTCCACCTCCGGGGTATAAGGTCTATGGAGGAATGGGCCAACCTTGCTTGAAGAAGTTCAAGCACAGGGAGTGATAGACTAGAAGGTTCAATTGCCCATCAGGGATCCCGCCATGTCCGTTATCGTCTTGTTTCCCGGACGCTATTGCAATTCGAGCTTGCTTCCTCTAAGAAAGAAGGAACACTTAGTAATAGTGCAATGAGAATCATGCCGTCCTAATTGGAAACCTTATAAAGCTCGCGACAGTTTGATTATACCTTTGGATCCCAGTTGGGACAATTTTTTTTAGACGGAATACCCTCTCAAAAACTCCATTCGGCGTGTTTTCACATTATTGTGATTCCTATCACAGCTTTGTCACGGCCTTTCCCAATCACACGAGCGGTATGGTACTGTCGGTATTCGGCTTGTTTCTATGACCATTTCAACTGGGTGTATCCAAAGACCTCTCATTCCCATGCTATCCAGACGCTTTGTACTGAAACTAACATGCTCGCTTGCTTAAATGCCACGAAGCCTCCCCTTCACAAATCACCCAGAACCCGCTGTTCATCATAGACGCCGGAACCTGGAAAGAAGGTTAGTAACACACCCCATCACAGCGAAAAATCACCAGTCGACCCTCGATACGCGGGCCTCTCAAGGCTTCGTACTTCCATGCCCATGTCCACCACCATGCCCGCTCTTTTCCTTAAAATCCTGGAGCCAAGCCTGGACAAAGTTCTTGATGGCCCTTTGCGCCTCCTCCACCGGCTTAGGGGGAAAGTCGTGGCGGGTCTCGTTGGGGAACACGCCGTTCTCGTCCCAGTGATGCACGCCGTCCTTGATCAGGATGAAGGGCTCGCTGATGGTGCTCTTGCGGTTCTTCAGACCGATGGCGTGCGGGGTGGCGGCGCGCCAGGGGTCCTTCTCGCCGTCGATGATGGCCAGGCGCGGGTAGCTGATGCCGAAGCCGCCGTACTTGTTGATAGATTCGACGTCCGAGGGCTTGTAGATGTTGAAAGCCTCGCGGCAGACGATGGAGGTGTAGTTGAGGTCAATAGCGCGGGAGATCAGCGGGAGCTGGTTGCGCGGGACGCCGGAGCCGGTTTGGAGGTAGCCCCATCTGGAAGGGGAGTGTTAGTTGCATTCGAGCAAAATGCTGAAGGAATGGATAATTTGACTTACTGATCGCAAACCTGGTATATCCACAGGCGCCAAGTCTGCTTAAGATCGTCCTTCTTGTAGAATTCGGTATCGTAGGAAGTAAAGCAGGCATTCTGGTCCTCGTCACAGGACTGGACTTGGGTGACGTTGACATAGCCGATGTAGTTCAAAAACTGGTTGGTGAGCGTCTTGACCTCCTTGCCGTATCCGCCAACAGTTAGGAGCTTCTGGACGTCCTTTTTGAGGCGAGCAGCCTCGGGGTACAGCAGCGCATTCGAGCTAACATTGTTGCAGTACTCGCCGTATGAGGTGTCGTTCAACACGGGATCCCAGTTGGTCGATTGCAATCCCGCGATACCGTAGCTGATGATGTTGGCAAAGTCATCGGTGTGGGTGAGGTTGCCGAAACCGAATGTGTCCTTGAGCTTCTGCACGTATTTGGCGTTGGCCTTGTTGAGGATGATGTTGTCAACAACGTGGGTGAGCTTTTGGGTAGCAGTCACGCAATCCTTGGGGGCGTAGATGCGGGCGGCCTCGTAGTATTGCCAGTAGTCATAGATTGCCTCAGTGACGCCGGATGAGGAGATGGCGCCCCAGTAAACATCAGGGTACAGCTTGCGCAAGAAGGCAACGAAGGCACCAGCATAGGAACCTCCATAGGCAATATAGGGAGTGTTAGGCGCAGTCAGATCCAGGTGCTCAAGACCCGCGAACTTGACGTTCTTAGCAAAGTAGACGGTATCGGCCAGCGCTTGGTCGGTGGTGAGGAAGCGGAGGTTCTTCGTGCTGAAGTCGGAAGTAGGCAGACTCTTTCCGTAGTAGCGATGCTCAAGGATGACGCCGACACCACCAGTCGCCTTGGCGAGCTGGTACACGATGCCCTTCTGGAGGAACTGGAGACGGCCGACACCGCTCGTCTCACCAGCAGCGAGGACAATGACGGGACCTCCCTTTTTGTAGTAGGTCGCATCAAACCAGTAGCGAAGGTCGAAGGTGTCGTTAGTATGCGGCTCGTACTTGGTGTCATTGTGGAAGTGGTCAACGGGCACCTCGATGGTCCGGGCTGGGTAAAGCAGCGTGGGGTCGGTGCTGGCCTGAATGGTGAAATCACCCTCTGGCTCCAGCGCAAGATCGCTCTCCGACTGAAAGGTTTTTAGTCTCGAGCTTGTACAGAGCAAAGGAAGTGATGACAAGCACATACCAACAAGCGAAGATTCCTGACAGACAGGGGCGCTACAGCAGAGGCTAGCTGTGCAACGCAGGCCGTGACGGCCAGCAGACGTCCAAGTCCCATCATTTTGAAAGTATCCAAAACGGCGACGACGAGTGTCGACGAAAGAAGGGGGAACCTCGAGAAGTGGGACTTACCTGGTGTAAATAAATGGAAATTGATAGCCTATAAACAAAACCTGGAAAACAAATCGATCAGCAAGGGTCCAGAGAATGACACACCTTCCTCTTTGGGGTCCAGATTGAAGCAGTTGACCCTGGGTCAATATCGGACGGCGGGCGCGTATCGTGCGTGGAGGTCTGTACCTGTCATCCAGCTATCAAAGCCGTGTAATGGCCGTGAAAGCGACCGCGATGCGGAGCGAATGGCGAGTTACAAACACGCGGTAAGCTGCGCCGTAGTGTAAAGCCGAGACGGGCGGTTGGTTGTTGTGGTGGTGAATGCTGTGGATGGTGATATGTCTGCGCCGTTCGACGCTCTGACACTGTCGATGTTGCTTACTTCTCCCAATGTTTGCCTCCCAAATGCTCCCAGGGAATAGATGGATGAGGCAGGACGAATCTCTCCTTCAGGAAGGTGGTAGTGCTGTGCTCCGGAGATGTTAAAGATGGGGGAGCGGTGTCGCTATTAAGGCCGGGGCTTGACTCGAGATCCAGAGTGCCGATCCGAAGCGGGGAACTTCCCGACAGAGCCTAGTGACCTGATCCTGCCGGTCGCCGACTTGGCCTATCGACATCGACCGGACCCCGGGTCTTGTTTGTAGTTGTTGCCATGTTGCTGTTCAGGTTGGTGACGAAGACGAGAATTATTTGAGACAATTGCGGTCGTGGAACATGAACACATCGGGTTGTGCAAATGGTTCAATTGAGCGATGGGTGGTTGCAGCATCCAGGAAGTTGACACCAAATGTGAGAGGTTTGGATAGACACATTTCTTGCGGAAACATAAAAGCAAAGTCGAAGGAATTGAGGCAGAATTTCAATTTCACCATGCTTTCACTGGACGACCATTTGAATTTCAACGGTTTGAGAATTGAGGAAAGAACAACTCCCGTGCCGGCCAAGAACACGGCCCCGAGCCCGGGCCCGGCTTGGTACGACCCCACTACAGTCGGGTTCCGGCAGGCCAATCTCCACCACTGACGTACAAGTGTTGACAAATGCGCAATTCGCCCCGAGCTCCTTCCTCTTCCCTTTCAACGGAACAGGCTTCTTTCTTTCTTTGAAATGGGAGCTACGACCAGAGGGGGTTTTCTTTGAAGTCGCCATTCACTGAAACCTTGGCTTTTCCTCTGACGACCGGGAGCCAGCACAGCACACCAGGCAGCTAATTGTATATGACAATTGCAATTCCGTCGGGGTCATTTGTCGCGTCCCGTCATGGACTTTCCTAGGTAGTAAGGATGATTCTGCTGACGCTTCCAATTGCTGATTCCATAGCTAGGTACCGTCTCCAGCGACCAAATCTCCAGGTGTCTTGCGGTTCTAGCGGTCAAATCGGCAGTATAAATCATTCATTCATCTCGTCATTAATACAATGATATACATTAAAAATACATCGCTATCATCCGATAAACCCAGCTTCACGCCACGTGCTTTGACAGCGGCGCGGTCCGAGACGGACCTTCAATCCACCGTCAATGGCTAGTCGGTCATCTTGATGTGACCACTTCAAGGGTATTTCCTCCATTGAACCATGCGATGCGATTCCAATAACCGACTTGTCGTTTCTGATCAATGACTAGCAAACAGATCGAAGCATTCGAGTCGAATCATGTCTGATATATGGCCAATATATATTCGCTGTTTCGTCGGCACCTCGTGTCCGTTACAAGGCCGGTATAGGAAGAGGCGTAGACAAGGATCGGTCGAGCTGTCAGTGGTCATTGACCAAGGTGTCGCACCCGATGCATTCCTGGAGGCCGCTTCGATCCGTTCTAATGATGCTCGTGGTGATTCCACCTAAATATTGGGTACAGTTTTTCCGGAACAGAGGACAGTGACGGGAGTCGGTTTTGAGAACTCAGAGGCTCCGGGCCGTTGTTGCGGGGGATCAAGCTTCCCCCATCCTCTTCGCTTTGCCAAAAGACACAGGGAGTGTTGGCCGCCGACATCGACGATACCCCGTTCTTCATCCCACGCGGTGTGGGCCTGATAGCCATTTCAGGCATCCGACAAAACCTGACCAGTGGTCAGCGTTCTGGCAATGCACTACCAGATAACGCCATGTGTCTTTTTGCCAGTCTTCTCGTTGATATCTCTCTTTTTGCGGCGGGTCCTGATACCACTATAGAGATCCACCACGGCCATGACGCAAACACCACCGAGAGCCAGGACAATAACCATGGCAATCAATATCGTGACGACAATAGGGAACCATATGGATGCGGCCTTCCACTTGGGCCATGAATGGTCTTCCGGAAGCTCCGAGTCGAGGGCTTGCAGACTGACCTGCATCGAGTTGAGCACGACGGAGCAGATTGCGAAGATGGTGAGCAGGGGCCCCAGGCTGTGGGTGAGGAAGGAACCCCATTGCGGGTAGATGTGGAAAAAGGCCAGCTTTCTCTTAAAAAACGCTGCAGCCATGTTGAGTCGACTGAGGCGTAGTTCGCCGTAGTGGTACCGCTTGGGAACCTGGATGTCGTGGACCTTGGTGAAGGGCTCGATGAAGTCGCACCACTCCTCGTATGTGGGAAACTGCCCGTTGGACTTCTTGGGGATCAACTTCTTCTCGCAGGCCAGGGCAAAGTCGACCTCGTACTGGATCAAATAATAGTAGCTCCTCATGAAGCCGAGGCAGGCTCGATAGACATCCAAGTGGGCGTTGGCGATGTACTCCCAGAAGGCGGCGCAGTAGAAGTAGGCCGGGACGGGCTTGACGTAGATCCGCTCATAGTACCACACCAGGTGAAGACAGGGATGCTCGTCGATCTTGACTTCTCGGTCGTGTGCGTACTGATGGTGGAGAGACATGATGTGAAGGAAGGATGGAGTTTGGACCTGGGAGTCTTAGTATGATAGCCCAGCGGCAGCTTAAGAGGTTGTGAAGGGAAACTTACAAAGACATACTTCATCCACTTGAACATGCCATCCAGCTTCGTGGTCAGATGGTTATCATCCAAGTATTCCGATAAAGGTAACCAATGACTCCCGGGATTTTTCTCATCGAGCCTAACTCGCGGTTGACCTGGAAGATGGCACTTCAGAGTGGTAGTGCCGTCGTCGTTTTTTGTCGGTACTGGCACCAGATCCATCGATGTCAAGTTTGGGTTGTGACTTGGTTGAGTCCCAATTTTGGCCATGTTTCCCTTCATGTTCTTGATGTTCGTATACGGGAAAACCCTGGGGACCGTGGGGCTCAAATTACAATCCGAAAGTTGTGACTCGGCCTTCTCGATATCAAGGGTCAAGGGGGCCGAATGAGGGGTTGGCGTCGTCGCCGTCGACCTCAGGTCGGACTTAGTTGCGGCTTCCATGTTGCTCGTCAGACTTGAAGGTGAAGCAGCACAGAGATCTTGGAACACAAAAAGATCAAGAAGCGATCAAAGTGCAATTATGTCTCGACGGTGTCACAAGAAAAGAAAAGAGGTGTGGAGGAAGAGGTGCAGCGTGGTCAGCATCAATTTACAAGGCAACGGGTAGAGAGAGGTAGGGCAGCCGGGCGCCTGACAACTATTTAACCGGGGATGACCATCGTGACCACATAGGGATTTGGGGGCCAGGCAGGCTGCAGCTGAGAACCGCCCGAGGCAACCATTCCACTCAGATCGAAAAAATTGAGGCAACAAGTCGGACCAGGCTAGCAAAACACAATTTGACATGTATCGGGCCGGAGATACAATCCCAAAAACTCATTTGTGAAGCCGGGGGGTGAAAAAAAACAGGAAGGAACGACGAGGGGTTGTGATCACGATCTGTTGTGTCACTGTCCACGCACCGCCCACTCCGGTATCACCAGTTACAAACTTTCGGGAAGCTACAGTCCACAAATCCATAGAAAAGTTTAGTTCACCCTCGCACACCCAGGAAATTCGCCGCTGCCATCGTTCAAGTCATCACCTAGTAAAACCACTTCTCATCGCAGAATTTGGAATTTCATCAAGGCGATGATAACCTTCAAGACCCGTTACCAGGCATATACCACCTTCCTACAGCTCTAGCACATGGCACCAGAGCAGTCCAGTCCAGTTCAGCTTTTGGGCAAAAAAAGTTCCAACAAGCAGAAATAACACAGCATAAATCGCTGTCCAATCGAGAAATCCGACGAACAAGGCTCGAACAACTCGACGGATTCCCCCTGGTCTCATCTCATGCAGACACCCGCCCGAAGGCCAAGCCCAAGCGCTGCGGACATTGACGAGCCAGCATGGAATGCTTGGACCTTTTTCTTTCCTCTAGATTTTCTCCAGGTGGAGAGAGACCGTTACATTGGAGCGCTGACCGCTGAGGCTTGCGGGGATAGGGCAAGTCGGCGTTTATTTTTGGCGATTTCTAAGACGCTAGCGCAGCGAAGCCATTTCCAAGTTCGCGCTGCACTAAAGAAACACTCGACGTTGGTCTCTCCATCCATCAGACCTAACTGCTTCACAAATCAAAGTCACCAGGAAGATGAATAACGGACTCAACACCGAAATGAAGGAGGGCAAAAGAAAAAGAAAGAAAAAACAATCAGTGAATTGACAAGGAAACAGTGACAATGAAAAACCGGGACGAGCCGCCATCTCCAGCTCCGTCTGTTCGCGCCCCTGCCGCCCGCCCTGCCGCTCAATCCACAGCGGTCCGTCCTCTGTGGGCCTCCCTTTTTCCCCGCTCCCGCCAGTTTGGATCAAACACAGTTGGGCTTTTCGCTAAGGTAGCGTGGGCGGTCCGGGGTGTCCGTCCACTGGAATGATCCGCTGCGGGACGAGCCTGGCATCGACGAGGTCCCCCCCGGCCATCATTCAAGTTCGATTGCGAGTTGGGATGTTCGGACATGGGACAAGGTCAGAGCTCGAATCTGGGACGACTGATGATGGTGGATGGTTGTGGGATTGGGACTGCGACTGAGCCTGCCTAGAGGAGGCATCCGGGGATGCCCGTGATACTGTACTGATTGATGGCTTCACAAAGGGGCAGCAAATGCACAAGTTGGAAATTATCAGCATGGTTAGTACCTTGACAGGCACGGCAGGCACGACAGGTGAGACCTGGGGAGGTCAATAGTCTGGCGAGACTGGTTTGACGTCTTGATAATCGAAATTGCGACCTATTTGTAGATAGAGGTACCCGTTGGTGAGGTTGATTGTCAAGGCTGTCTGTTCCCCAACACTGCTAGGCAGAGTTGGTGCCAAAGCCACCAAACGCGCTAAAACCCTACCGAATAGACAAAATGCATGTATGAAGAAGGAAAAACTTGCCTTCCAACTTAACAATTATATAAGTAAACAATCTTCTAACTAAGATTAATGAAGCTAGTACTAATTCATTTCTCTTTTTATTGCCAATATAATAAATTAACGTATATATCAGTTCTTGCCATGATTGGCTTACTATTACGCTTTAATATATTACAACACTATCCTGGGCATAGGTAGAGCTAGGCCAAAAGAAGTCAATGTGAATAAAATCAATAAAGCTAAAGAGTAGAAAAGAGAAGCTGGCCAAAGGTCGCCAAACAAGATGTGCCTTAAAATTAGATGCGCGAGTTCTGTCATACTTGACAGGCTAAAAGCCGCCTTAGATGCAGCTAGCCACGACGCCAGCGCTATAATATAATCAAAATTTTCTTATTTAAAATTGTAATATTTTTATTTAATTTGGAACGCTGTAACTCTATTAATTAAATTCCAATATCAAAGTATGATCTTTATTTTATATACTATTACTTAAACAATATACTTATATCTATTGTAATGCCTTACGTAAGTAATTAAGAGTTTAATAACAATTTAAATACTAATAATTTAAATGATTTATATAACTCCTAATACTCTTAATCTAGTTTCCTGTCACAGCGCTGGCGGACCACTACATCACTGTGACAAGGGCAGTGTTCTGAGCTTGGAACAGTAGTTCAATTCAGCTAATAAACTACTTTGGTCTCGAAGGCCTTGTTGATCCTCTCAACCTCCAAGAGAAGGCTAGACTTCAGGACCTTCTTATTGTCACACGGACATATGCCAC